TTATACCCAAGACATTGGAATACCAGGTACTATTTATCCACTGAGGTATGATAATAATTATTGTTATTACTAATGTCCAATTGAGTTGTATTTACTAATTTAGTCCTTTTTCCTCTTTGTTAATTTTCCTTTTGTTAATAACAAGATTAAATCATTTCTTTTTTATTTAAAGTTCTATGGTTTCTGCAAAAGAACCAAATGAAACAAACAGTTGTAGTTATACCAACAAATCATAAAGTCATTCGTGTTCACTCTGGATTTCATAATGAATATATTTTAAATCAACTCAAAAATGAATATCATATCATTGATTCTCCAATTCTAAGTCATGACATTCTCTTACCAAATAATATTAATATTGACATTGTTGATGCTGACTCTATTATTTCTGATGCTGATTATACAACGTTAATCCAAAGAAGAAAATATCTTAAAGATACCGATTTTGTTATTTTCTTCTTGAAATCATCTTTTAATTCTTCTCTCATTCAACGTCTTCAATTTGACTTATCACCATCTTCTTCATTTCTGTTTATTCCAATAGAAGATGATGATCTTTTGTTAATGAATTGTATTAACTCTATTCTTAAATCAAATGTTGAGCCTTTTCATAATGATGAAATCAACTTTGCTGATGAGATAAAATCATTTGCATCACAACTATCATCGTTGATTAATGATGACGTTTATTCATTGATGAAAACAAATCATCTGTCTATTTCTGATTTGTTCAACTCATCACTATTATTATCAAAAGGTATTAATGAAGACATTGTACAATCTCTTCAACAATTATTTTCAACTGATCGTTTCTTATATTTTTTTGTTTTGATTAACAATTTAAAATAAATATAACTAAATCAAAAAAAAAAAAAATTGAATAAAGAATAAACAAAATACAATTAATTAAGATGATATAATAACAATTGAAGATTTTGAATAATGCTAATACTTGCACGTTTTGACTCACATATGAATAATGTTTCATTTTTTTCAATTTCATTTGTTTGTATCATTTTCATTTCTTCCAATAATCTCAAACTTCGTTTAAGTTCATTTTCTAAAATCTCAAGATTATTATTCATTTCATCTTTTATTTTATTCTTTTCAATTACTACTTTGTTTTCTTCTTCTTTTATTTTATAGAATCCTCTATTCTTACACACTTCTCTTCCTGACTCAACTTGTGCTGAATGATTTAATGCATCTAATATTGATTTTCTCCATTTTCCATTTTGAAAGATTTTTAAGTTTTGAAATAATGGTAAATGGTCGTTGATAAATGGGAGGATGTCTTTAACTAAAGAATAATATTCTATTTGTGGTTTTAATACTTTGAGTGACTTTAATATCAATAAAACTAATCGTGTTGTTTTCATTTTTGGGTTTTTTGTTTGAAAGAACGTCTCTTTCTTACAAATAAGACACTGACAACAATGAACGGTTCTAGCTTCTTGAATATGAGTACTTTCCATTGGTGTATATATTTCTTAATCAAGTTCTTTTTATACTTCATATTTCGTCTTTCTCGAAAATTCAATCTTGCACAAATCCAGTAATTCTCTTATCCTTCTTCATTTCTTTTTACAAAAATTTGTTAGACTTTTCTTTTCCCTATTCTTCCCTATCCATTCCTTCTATTTCCCCCTTTTTTTTTTAAATTTTTATGCAAATTTCTATAAATAAATTTCTCTTTAAATAGAAATAGATTGATCTATATATATATTCTGATTTTGATTGGCTCTTTTAGTGGTTTTCAATGAACTTCAAAGGCGAACTTAAAACTAATGATTCTTGTATTTATCGTTTCCAGATTAAAAAAAATGGCTCTTTTTATAATTTTTTCTTTTACAAGAATTTTCTGATTTAGTATTTACCATAATGCATTTACTTTTGTATTTTAGAAGCAATAAAAAGATCTATGCTACTAATCGTTTATTATTGAAAGAAATGTACTGTTCTTGTTTTACATTTAATTCTTCTAACAATTTGTTAGAACTAATGAAGTAATTTTCAACAAATTAAATAACTTTAATTCTTAATTGTTATAGCAGTAGTTAACTTTATTTCCATCAATCAAACATAAATACTAAATGATATATTTATGTAAATGAAATTGCATTGAATTCATACGCTCTAGACACTCTTGTTAATTTACTTTCATTTTATTGTTCATTTAAAATTCAATTTCTTTCAGTTGGTCTTAATAACGTTTTGTGATTAATTTCTTTATGAAGTTATACTCATTCCAAGTACTTTCATTAATAACAAATAAGCACATCTTATTATAACCCTCTTAATATTATATGATATTTTCTTATTTATGTTTTTTTCACTTATTTTTTGTTGTTTTTATCTGTTTTATCTTCGTCGTTAAATCTTGCACTATTGTCTGATAGTTCTTTTCATTAACTTTAATGATGCTCATAGACGCTCTGTCTTATGTTCAAAAAACAATAAAATATTCGACACTTTGTTATTAATAGAAATTATGAAATCAAGGTCTTCATAACACTTTTAAATAACTTTATTTATTATAAATTTTACTAACAGAAACAGCACTACTCTTTTTATGTACTTTATCTTATCCATCCCTTTCTTTAACTTCTATTGTTAATTTTTGCTTCTTTTATAGAATTTTATTGTCGAACCCTATTATTCTTAAACTGTTCACTATTATTTCTACTCAAACAAGTAACTTTTTAATGTTAGAAAACCCACCGATCCTTGTACGTTTTGGTTATTGTTTTTAGTTTGTCAAGTATTTGGTCATAGTTAGGTATTAATAAATAACTCCTCATCATTTTCATAAAGAGGTCACAAACTCAGAAATGACATTGTATAATCCCCTTTGATATAATCTCCTCTTGTAAACTCTTACTTTCCCTTTGTTTTTATTTAAAGATGGTTTATTATTTGAAAAACAATAAAATTACAAGAAGTTATTGTCATAAAGTTAAGCCAAAATTTTTTAACTTTTTTAAAAATAAAATAGTTTCGTTTAGTTTAAATAATCTAATTGTCAAATCAAGTTAAACGGTATTGTACAATGTATTTTGTTTATCAGTGTTTTCAAAGCAGTGTTATGAACCAAAATTTTATTTAATACTTTTTTTAACTAAAAAAGTAATTTGTTAATTTAAAATATGTGAAAATACCTTTTTTTAAATTTACTAGTTATGAAGAGAAATAACTCTCTTTCAAATGAACTAAAAAAAAGAGGTAGTAACAACAAACTATTAACAATTAATCACTAACTTTTATTTGATTATTATTAATCTTAATTTCATTCTTTTATAAAAAGTTATGAATTAGCCATATTCTTAATAATTATTTCTTTTGAGACTTTAAGAATACCAAATTTTAGAAGAAGAAATCAAAAAGATGAATCATTTCTTAGTTATCTAAACCAAATAAATTATTATAAATAAATATTGGTTATTCTTTTATTTTATTTTGAAATAATACTAAAAATAAACAAAATTAAATGGTTTAATGAAATAACATTAATCTTTCCTTCAATTACAAAAATAATTATTTATGACACTTCGTTTTCTTTCTTAATGATAGAAGGCTACATACAAAAGCAAACCATACCCTTGCACTCAAAGAGGTATTGCAATCACAAACAACACTTACCTTAAAAAAACTTTTGAAATTAATTTAGAAATGACTAAAAGTGAAAGACTCAATTTTAAAATAAGGAAACTGTATTATTGACTTTTTAATTCTAGATATTGTTTTTTACTAAATTAAAAACCTATGAAAAGGCTTCTTCTTTTTGGTTATTTGGTGGTGTTATCTTTCCTAATATATTTATGACATTTGATATTATATTTAAATAGAAAACAATTTTAATAATGTGAGATGTACTGTGGAAAAACCAAAACTGAAATAAGTTGAATGAATTAAAAAAAAAACAAAAAAATAGATTTAAGTTTCCATAGAAGGTTCTACTTTTCTTTTCTATGATGACTTCTTCTCTTCATTATTACTTTTGGATACATCTTCTTGATACTAGCAAGAGGTGGTTAAACAAACAGCAATAAACAAGGCCTTCTCTTTTATACTTTTTTTTTCAACTAAAGTTGTTTTCAGAACTCCTTTAGCACCAATAACTTGAGAATAAAATAAACTTAATAAGAATATAATTCGTAGTTGAATAAATCTGTAAATTATTTATTTTAAATTTAATTGAATGAGTGTAATAAATGCATGTACAATTACTAAGCCTAACTTCTGTCCTTTATGTGGAAGTTCTTGGCATGAAGGGTGTTATTGTCAAAATCCTCAATGTGGGTGTTTATGGGCACCATGCGAAAATCATCCAAATAACCCAGTTTTTTATCAATCTCCCTTGGAAACACCAAGGAGTGGAAATAATACCCCACCTCATATTATTGTCCCTGAACAAAGCACTTCTCCTAGACCTGGATTTTTATCACTTCCTAGACCAACAAAACTAGCCCCAAAACCTTCTACTATTCCTCCAAAACCACAATCAAATCCACCTCGTTTCAAAGTTAGAAGTTCACGTGAATCACCTCGTTTAGAACAACCAAAAAGTGAACTTGGAACACCAAGAGAAGGGATAAAAAGTCCAAGAGTAATTGGTAAGGAAAAACGACGACTTAGTGGATCGATTGATTTTAAAAGTGAAACTAACCTAGATGAAACAGACAGAATAACAGAAACAAAAAGAAGATCATCATCATTAAATTCAGAGGGTGATGTTGAAGTAGATGAATTTGGTGATATGTTATGTTCTCGTTGTGGAAGGCCTGTATATGAAAATGGGATAAAAGCAAATCGATGTGTATTTCATGCAGAATGTTTTACTTGTGAAAGATGTGGATTACGATTTAATGAAAGAAGAAAACCATTATATTATCATAAAAAATGTATTTGTTTATCATGTTATTTGAAAAGGTGCCCTAAATGTGATTTGTGTTTAGAACCTATTACAGGATCTTATGTACGTACTGACAAAAAGAAATTTCATAAAGAATGTTTTAATTGTTGTAAATGTCATAATGAAATTACAACAAAATATTTTATTACTAATAAAGGTTTTGCATGTCTAAATTGTATAGAGAAAAAATGACTTAAATATTTTTGATTTTTCATTCTAACATAGTCCTCTATTGAAATTGTCTCTTTAATTTTCAATTGAATTAATAGTTTTTTTGTCTTCATGTTATTATGATATTTTAGATAAAAAAGAAAGAAATGTTGATTACATGATAATGTCAATCTAAATCATCTGATGATGAATCAAAATCTTCATATTCTGAAACATTAATCATTTCTCTAGAATTAAATCCAGATCTACTTTTAGAGAGTTCTATTTGATGGAAACAGACACACATAATAAGAACAACAAATGTATTTACAAGTTTCATTAAACAAATTGGAATTGCTACAATGAATGAGAAGAGGTAGAGATAATTAAATAAAACAAACGTCCCTTATTATGAGTATTTGTTTGTAAAAATAATTGTAGTAAACAGACAGAAATAATAATACTTGTGAATGAAGTTAAAAATATTAATCTTTTTCTGTTAATTGGATTCATTACTTCTGTGAAAGAAAAAAATTCATTTAAAAGAATCCAAAATATTAGTACTAATTGAAGTAGATCTCTAATAGATTTAAAATTATTAATAAGTGGAGTAGTTGTTGCAACTAATGGAGAATATTGATGTACTAAATTAGAGAAAAAATAAATCAGTAAAGCAAAGAGGTATAGAATAAATAAGATAGAACGTAAACCCCATTGAAGAATTGGATACTTTTCCTTAATTGCCAAAAAACGTAAATGATCAACCTGAAAAAATATCCAAATAAATACTATAAAAATATAAAATTCCATTAACACATTATCTAAATAATCCATCCATGTATAGTTTTTATAAAAACTTAATGAAATTATTGGATTAGTAAAGAGAATAACACTAAATAATAATAGAGTATTTAATCCAGTATATACTGTCCATTGGTGAGTATAAATTGTAATACTACAATAAACAATAAATGCAATAAATACTATAAACATTAATATTATTGTTAAAATCAAACTAAACAATGTTTGATTTCTAATTGCTGTTGATACACTTAAAGAAACTTTATAATCTGTTGTATTAAAAACATTATTAATATCTTCAATTGATATAATAATCAAATATTCTCCATCTTGAACTGCGTTATCAGAAACAAATATAATATCATCACATTTATTAAGAAAACACCTAGTTGAATATGTTTGATTATGTAAATGAACATTGTCATATATTCCTTGAATTATATGTAATTGTGTTTGAGCATTAAACTCAATAATTTTATTTACAGTATCTTGTGGTTCCAATCTTAAATATACCTCAAGCCAATGGTCATATTTTTCTATATCCAAATTCTCAACAAGTACATAATTTCCATTACGATAAAATGAATTATTTATAATACGAGGTGATTTATTTCTAACTACCAATGACTTATTATAATATATAGAAATTCCTATTGATATAATTAATAAAAAGACAATACTATTTCCAATTATTACAAAATGGCATCTTTTCATTTTGTCAATCACTAATTCATTTTCCATTAAATAAATGATTGATACATTTCAAGTTTATCATAGAAAATCAATTTTCTGAATTAAATTAACTTGTTTTGTTTTTCCTTTTTTTTTTTTATGTATTTTTTTTTATAAAAAAAATCAACTTAGAATTTTAAAAAAAAATAAAAAAAGAAGTAAGAAAAAATCTTGAATAATAAAAAGGATAAAAAACCTTTTCAAATGTATATCATTTCTCAATTTAATGACTCATTCAAAGTACCACCAAACAAGTTAGAGCATATTCTTGTTAGTATTATTGATTCAATAAATAGTAAATATCAAAATAAAGTTTGTTTATTTATCAATAAAAAGAAATAAAGTTACTAATTTGAAAAATTAGATGATTGAAGGAAAAGGAATTGGAGTGACATTATATGATATTGTTAGCATGACAGCACCAACCATTGCTATTGGAACAGGTGATGTGTATTATGAGGTTGTGTTCAATTTAGTTATCTTTTCTCCATTTCAAGGTGAGTTAATTGAAGGAAGGGTGTTAAGAAGTCTTCCAAGTGGAATTCAAGTTACACTTAATTTTACAGATTCAGTTTTCATTGACCAATGTTATTTCCCAGCCAATAGTGACTTGTTTGTTTATTTTTTTATTTTATTTTTACTTTACATTTTTACAATGTAGTGATGAAGATGAACAACTTTGGTATTGGAACTATGATGGAACTAAACTTCCATTATACATTAATTCAACAATTAGGTTTAAAGTTCATCATGTCATAATGAAAAAACAAGAAAGTGTTAAACCAGTTGTTGTTCCACAAGTATCTCTTATGTCTAATAATTTAAAACAACAAAAAGATGAAAAAGGAGAAAAACTAAGTGATGAAAAGAAGGGTATAAAAAAAGAAGAAACAAAAATGGATGAACAAACACAACAAGATCTTAGCCAAGAAGAAAATGAAGAAGAGAAATTACCATTAAGGATTTATGGTAGAATTAATGAAAGTGGTCTTGGACTTACAACATGGTGGAGTTAAGTGATTGAAAATAAAATAAAGTCTTTTTGAACTTAACAAATTTGATGTTTTTTGTCTTATTAAGAAATCATTTTTATTTTTTTTATATTTTTGAGTTTATTAGATACTTTAGATGAGATTATATCTTATTATTGTTTATGAGTTGATAATTGTAGTATCTCTTTATGAACAGATTTCTAGAATCTCAAAGAAGTATAAATTGGTTAAATCAACCTCTTCTCTTAGTTGCTTTGCTTAGAAATTTTATATGAAAATAAAGGAAAAGATGAATTATTTTAATTATTTAATTATAGAATCATATTAACATATTTAATTAACCTAAAAATAGTTTTATTATAGTTATTTATACTAAAAGAATAATAAAATAAATTAATAACATTAAAATAAAAAAAAAAGAATAAAAAGTCTATTTTTGTTATTTAATCAATAAGATGAATAAAAAAAAAAAGAATGTTCCTCAAGAAACCGAAGTGTTGGTTCAATTATCATCAATATAAGTAAAGAAATTTATCATCAACAAATTGAATAAGATCTTTAAAATAATTACTACGGATGTTAGAAACGTTCGTACAAATTATTCTTTTTATAACGTTTATTAATGATGTGATAGCTAGTAGTATTGTTGAAGAACAAAAGAAAGAAGGATATCCATGGTGTGATATTGATAAGAATATGTCATGGTGTGATATAAATGATGAAGGAATTATTTATCTAATAGAAGACACCGAAAAGACATGTTATTATGATGAAGATAAGTGGAGAGGATGGATGAGTAGATGTAATGAAAGTAATGGGTTATGGAAATATGATGAATTTGTTATTCAAAAAGATTGTTGTGGAAAGGACTATCAAGAAGAACCATACAATAATGAATTAGTAATTATGGATACGGTTCGTAATACAAATAAAGTTATTAAATTTAGTGCAGAAACAACAGCATATTCAAGAGAATATCTAAATATTACAATATATGAAACATTTAAAAATGTTCAATTAAAATTTTTATTAGAATATGTATTAGAGAATAGTATTATTTCAATATCACGTTCAATTGAAAATAGTGAAAGGAATCCAAGTATTTTTGAAATATATTCTAATTCATTTGAAATAAAAATTT